GCTTGCCTGTTTTATTGAGCTTTTGAAGAATCAGCTCCTGGTATTATTGATAATGTTAGTAGTTTTTCTGTTTTGTATCTTATTTATTTCAGCTCTTGTCCTTATAATTTCCTTTCTTCTAGAGGCTGTGGAGTTAGATTGTTATTATTTTTCTGTTTTATAGAGGTATTGAGTTAGGTAACTAATTTTGCTTCTTTCTTCCTTTTTTATGTGTTTTCATCCTTTTTTATGTGTTTGCCTATTGCTATGAACTGGCTCATGAAGACTGCCTTAGCTGTACAACAGAACTTTTACTATGTTATATCATTGTTTTCATTTGGTTGAGGAACTCTTTTATTTCATTTTTTTTCTTTGTTTGTTTCTTTTATAACTCAATCATATTCTAGCAGGTTGTTATTTAGCATCCACATGGGTAGTTTTATAAACTTTACCTTATTGTTGATTATTTCTAATTTTGTAGCATTGTGGTCTTAAAAGATATTATGTATTATGTCAGTATTTTTTAATTCATTGAGGCTTGCTTTGTGTCCTAATATATCATCAGTTCTGGAGAATATACACTAGAAAAGTAAGTACATTGACTTTTAGTTGGGTGCAGTACCCTGAATACATCCACAAAGTTGAATTGGCTGATTGTATAGTTTAGATCTTCTGCATCTTTGTTTAGTTTGAGTTGACCTATCCTTTGGTGGCACTCTCATTCCACTTTTTTTAAAGACTCCCACTACAAGTGTGTCAGGAAATGTGAGGATGGTACAGGGTAGGACAGGGGTCAGATCTGTTGTTCATAGGATTGCTAACAACAACAACAACCACTATTGTGGTTCTTTTTCTTTATTCAGGTCTGTTAACCATTGCTTTATGTATTTTACAGTTCTAGCATATGGTGTGTAGATGTTGACCAAGGTTATGTCTTCTTGATCTATTGTGCCTTTAATCATTATATAGTTTCCTTCCTTATGTTTTTATGGTTGTTTTCATCCTGAAGTCTACTTTATCAAAGATTAGTATCAGCATTCCTGCTTTTTTGTGGATATCATTTGCTTAGTACATTTTTTTCTTGCCTTTGATTTTCAGTCTATCATCCTCATTATTTCTTAGATGTGCCTTTTGAAGCAAATATTGATGTTTGAGTTTTTTTAATCCATTATACTACTCATTTTCTCTTAATTGGTGCAGTTAAGTCATTCTTATTTATTGTGAACACTGATAGGCCATGTTTTGTTGTTGCAATTCAGCTGTGTTTCTGTTTCTATTGCTTCTGATTACTGTGAAACAGTACTTTCTTTTGGTTTCTCTGTATGAAGAACTTTCCATACAATTTTTTGTAGAATTAGTCTCATTTTTCACAAGTTCATTACTTTCCTGCTCTTCTGCAAATGACCTAATAACTCCTTCATATTTGATGAACAGCTTTGCTGAGTACAGAATCCTCAGCTGGCAATTGTCTTCTTTCAGCCTGTATATGCCATCCCATTGTCCTCTTGCTATCATGGGTTTCTGCAGAGAAATTAGAGCTTAATAGAATTGATTCTCCTTGTAGATGACTCTTTTTTTCTTGAGCTGCTTTTAGTATTCTATCCTTATCTTTGATTTTAGAGATTCGACTATGTTATGTTTTTGTGGGTTTTGGATTGTTTGGTTTTTTTTTGCTTTTTGTTGTTGTTTTTTTTTTTTTTAATCTACTCTGTTTGAAAGTCATTGAAATTTTGAGCATGGATTTCCTTGGGTGTTTTTTGGGGGGAGTTTTTTGTTTGTTTGTTTTTAAGCCTGGGAAGCTTTTCTCTAGTACATCCACCACAGTTTTCTCACTGCTTACCCTGCCCCCTCATGTTCTGGAATTCTGATCATATGTATGCTGTTCCTTTGATATTATCGCACATGATTCTAATGTTTTCTTATTTTTCTCTTTCTGTCTCCTCTCTGTCTTTTCTTCTAGTATATTCCCATTAAGATTCTTGTCTTCCAGCTCATTGACTTCTGTTCTTTCTCTGCTATTCTGCTTTTTTGTTCCTGCAGCAAATCGGAAACTTCTGCCCTTTCAGTCTTGATATTTTGGATTGTCGTTTCATGCATTTCTTTTAATACCAGTACTGTGTTGGCTGTCCCCTCTCTGTCCTAGCTTTTAATAAATAGCATCAATTCTTTCTTGCATCTTTTAATATTTCTTCAGTAGTTGCTCATCTTCTTTCATGTTGTTATATTTTTTTCTGGCTCCCTGTCTCTTAGGATATTTACTTTATTTAGGGCTTCCATTCTTTCCTCCGTCATTTTTACCTTCTTCTGTAGCTGTTCATATAACTCTACAAAGATATATTTCACATGTATATATGGCTTGGTTTGTTCTTTCACTGTATTTGAGGCTGTCTGTTGCTTTATTGATATTATGTGAAGTTTCTCTTGTTTTGTTTTAGACTGTTTCTGTTCTGCCTGAAGAGGTAGGGAAATATTTTTTTAATTTTATGAAGCTCCTGATTATTTGCAGGCTTAAATTTCTCTTGTTTATGGAGATGGTCAACTCACTTTCCTGGAAGTCTTTCTGGTCCTGTTCAGTATGAAAGTTTCCCTTTCCTAAAAACTTTCAGGTCCTGTTTGGTCTGCAACAGAGCCCTGTGGCAATCTTCCCTGAGTGAAGCCACCACTCCTAAGTCTATTATTGTCCTCAGTGGTCTGTGGTCCAGCCAGGAAATCAAGTTTCCTAACTGCAGCAGTTTCTCTCCAGGGAAGCATGTGGAGGCTTGCCCCACACTGGGAGGAAGTCTTTCATCTGAATCTGATTGGAACCTCTTCTCCTAAAGTCAATAGTTTCTCAACTGCAGTAGTTTCTCTCAAGGAGAGTTGTAGGCAGCTCCCTCCCTGGAGCCTAGGTGTGCCCCTGGGGTAGGGGTGGGGGGATTCTCTCACCTGATTGCAGCCCCCTTTCCTAAATTCTATTGTCCTCAATGGTTGACCAGAATCCCCAATGCAGCAGTTTCTCTCCAGGGGTGTTGCAGGCAGCTCCTTTCTTGTTACCTCCATGTAGAGGAAATCTCTCATCTGTTCCTGGCTAATTTTTGTGGAAGAAAAATTATAAGCCTTTCTTCCATAGTGCTGCTGGACAGTTTTGAACCATCAAAATTCAGGTTAATAACAACAACAAATGAAACACTGCTGCAGAGTAAATCCAACTCACAGAGAGCCCCCATCAAATTTCCAAGGTTATAGATCTTTATGGGGAAAGACAGTCCATATTTCTCCCACAGAGAAGCTGGTGGATTCAAACCACCAACCTTTCATGTAGCAATCCAACATTATGTCAGTTGAGTGCAGGCCATTTTTGCTACTCAGGGAACGTAATAAAAATTAAAAATCCCTCTGCCATCAAGGTGATTCTGACTCATGGTGACCATCCATCCATCCAAAGTCATCAATCTTAATGGGAAGAGTTTGTCCATCTTTCTCTCTCAGAGTAGTTTGTGCATTCAGACTGTTTATCTTTTTAGTTAGTAACTGAGTACTCAATGTACTGCCTAGAACTCTGGTTTGGGTAGCAGAAGGAGCAGGAGAGTACAGAACACTAGGAGATATTAATTTGGGAAGTAATAATGGACATTGAAAAGATCTCTTCCAGGTTTCCAAGACTATAAATCTTAATTTGTCCATCTTTTTCCTTCAGAGCCACTGATAGATTTGAAGCACAGACATTTATTTTGGTTAGCAATGCAACAGGTTACAAACTATCCCACCAGAGTTCCTAAATGCTTTACATAGTAAATATTAAATTATTTGAAGTTGGTTTCATGATAGTTTCCTTTTCAAGGTATCAGGAAAGTTTCAGGATTCCTTTCCTTCATTTTCTGTTCCTGATGACTTGATTCAGCATCTACATCTTTCCTTCATGATTCACCCATAAGGCATACAAATTCCATGTATGCCAACTACTTGGACATTGATAGAAGCTCGAATCCACAGCTCAAAACACCAATCCGTTAATAGTGCCTTGGGCAAGTTACTCAAACTAAGCCTATTTTCAAAGGAGCTCTAGTGGCCTAGGGGAAAAGATCTGCACTGCCAACCTGAAGGTACATGGTTCAAATTTACCAGCTGTTCCACAGAAGAAAGATGGGCAGTCACCTCCTGTGAGATTTACTGCCTCTGCAAACCACTGGAAGGTTAAGTCAACAGTACATAACAACAAGCAGCCAGTTTTTCACTGCAGGAAAACAAAGCTCAACAAAAAGATGTTAAGAATCCTACCTGTTGCTCAAAGTTGCTACAGTTGTTGTTGAATTGGTATTGACTGTCCACTGGGTTTTCATAGGCATCAAGTTGCAGGAAAGAAAATTGTCTTTCCTTCTCTTGTGGAGCAGATGGTGGATTAGAAATGCATATCTTTGGAATTGCAGCATAGCTCTTTACCACTAGGCTACCAGAGCTCCCTGGCGAGATTATATACATTTGGCCCTTAGCATTGTCCCGGCTAAATCATGTTGTAATTAGTTGCCCTTGAGTCACTTCTGACTCATGATAACTCAATGTGTACAGCATAGAACTGCTTCATAGAGTTTTCAAGGCTGAAAACTTTCAGAAGCAGATTACCATGTCTGCACCTCTAGATGGGTTTGAATCAGCAACTTTTGTCAAGTTATAAAGTGTTTACCTGTTATGGCACCCACAAATACTGCAAAACCATACTGTTATTGTTATGTGACATGGAGTTGGAACCTACTCCTAGCTAACTTTCCAGTTGATTTTTAGTGACTGCAAGTCACACAGAACGGAATTGCCCATCTTTCTCTTACAGAGCAACTGGTAGATTTAAACTATGCTTTTGTGTGTTCAGTACAACTCTTTTCTCTCAAGGCTATAAGAGCTCCTGTCAAACCAAAGGTCTCAGTAAATATTCACTGTTGTTCTAACATGTCTTGAAGGGCTAGGGCTCCATGAGAACAAGCATATGTAAATGCTTAATTAATTATTGGCAAATTAAATTGCCTTTATTTACTCAATATTTCCTTCAGGAAAAACTCCAGGAAGCTATGACAAACTTGAAGCAACTCAATGATGAATGCATGATTCAAAAGGCATCAGCAAGAAAGCAAATAGACAAATGGAAGGTAAGAATCTGAGTTCATCTCAGGCTACACTTTCTTTGAACACAGGCGCCCAAGAGTAGATTGAGACAAAGGCAATGTTACTTTAACTAAACTAGACTAAATAGCTGATACCAAAAAAGACATCATTATTTGTTTTTCTGTTGAATTGTTCTTGGTTTTCTATGTCAATGAGAATTTACCAGAGAAGTTCTGCTTTTATGTTAGCAGCATAACTTCATACAGACTATGCCACTAGAACTCTCTCAACTTCAATTGTAGTTGTTGTTGTTATGTGCTGTCTAGTTGCTTGTGACTCATAGTAACCCTATGTACAACACCTCTTAACCCTATTCTATCCTGAGACAACTTTATTGTCTCTGACACACCTCCCCCATTACCCTAGTCCCTGAATCAATCCATCTCATTAAGGATCTTCCTCTCTTGCACTGTCTCTCCACCCTCCCAAGAATGATGTACCTCCCCATGGGCTGGTTCTTTCTTGCAACATGCCCAAAGTATGACAGAGAATCAGAATCCTTGCCTCCAAGAGCAATCTCGTTTCAACCCCTCCAAGATAAACCTATTTGTTCTTCTAGCAGTCCATTGTATATTCAATACTCTTCTCCAGCACCACAGCTCAAAGACATCAATTCTATCATCCCTAATCATTTTCCAGCTTTCTGATGCATAGCAAGTAATTGTCAAGACCATGGCCTAGATCAGGTGCACCATAATCTCCAGACTGAAAACTTCAGTCGTAAGCTAGAATTACTGATATTTCTATAAGCAGAATTTTTGTTTATTTACCCAGAACTGGAACCAGAGCTCTAGTTCTAGGTAAATGGACACAAATCACCCACTACGCATCAGAGAGGTGGACAATGAATAAGGATGAGAGAAGAAGAATTGAAGCCTTTGCGTTACAATGTTGAAGAAGAGCACTGAATATGCCATGGACTGCCAAAACACCAAACAGATATATCGTGGAAATTATATTGCCCGAGTACTCCTTTGAAGCAGAGACTGAGAAACTTTATCTTTCATACTATGGACATGGAGCTGGTTGAGGCTATTCTTTGTTAATGGACATCATGCTTGGAAGGATAGATGGTCAGCAAAGGAGAAGAAGATTTCCAGTGAGATGAATTGACACAGTGATTTCAGCAATGGGCTCTCGTGTATCAGAGATGATGAGGATGGTACAGGATAGGGTAGGTTTCAGGCTGGCTGTCCCTAGGGCCACTATGAGTCATACTTGACTCAACAGCACCTGACAACAAAACCTCTGGTGGCCTAGTGATAAAGAGTTGTACTGATAAACTAAAGGTACGCAGTTCAAAATCCACCAGTTGCTTCACAGGAGAAAGATATAAAGATGGGCAATCTCTTCCTGTGCAATTAACTGTCTCTGAAAACCTTCTGGAGGGTCAGCTATGGGTCAGTTCTGATTCAATTGTACAGAACAAACAATAGTCTTGATTAGATTTTCCTTTTAAATAACTCATAAGTACCTTATCAGCTGAACAAAGTTACCATAGTACAGAATCTAGTTTTTGGATTCACAGATTTAAATAACTAAATGAAAAGTGAAAATTGCACTTGTGTTCATTCTAAAAACAGGCTCAATTCAAAGTAGACTTCACATTCCTCCATCTCATGGGGGTAACATAGGAAAGCCAGCTGATAAATCATGAGGATCATAACTGCTACAAGAACCTATATACTTGTAACTGCAGGACTAAGGCACCTCTGAGGATATTCTAATAGAAAGCCACCTTATTCATTCTCAAAAGCACATTCCTACAAGAAATGAAACTATTAGTATTTTGACTTTTTCCTACTTTAATGATAACATCTAGTACCCTGACCTCTACTTTTCTCCTGCATCTTAGAAGTAAGTAAGTAATGCAACTAGGGAGAATAAGGAACACCTCTCATATAACTGAGTGTTTGCCTCCCTGGCATGATTCTGCAGCAGGGAATCTGGAATATTCTTCTAACTGAAGGGCCTTATGGAATAACAATGCCAATTTTCTTTTCTTGCCTCTAGGAGATGACAGAAGTTCAAAGAAAAAAAATACAGTCTGACTTTAGGACTCTCCACAGTTTTTTATATCAGGAGGAGAAGTTTTATCTTTGGAGGTTAAAGAGAGAAGAAGAAGAGAACCTAAGGAGACTTAGGCATAGTGAGGAGAATCTGGAACTGAAGAGCTGTGAACTTATTAGTTATATCATGGATCTGGAGGAGAAAAGTCGTGGTTCACCTCAGAAATTACTGCAGGTAAGGTTTAAAGGAGCAAAAGAATATGTCTTTTGATGTTGTTGTTCTTGTTGTGTACCACTGAGTCTGAACTGACCCATAGCTAACCCTCCAGTGGGTTTTCAGAGGCAGTTAATGGCATGGGAGGATACTGCCCATCTTTCTTCTGCAGAGCAGCTTATGAATTCAAACTACATACCTTTGAGTTGGCAGTACGATTACTTACCTAAAGAGACATGGAAAGATTCAAAAGGAAGACATGAGTAGGGGAAATTCAAAGTAATTTTTCTTTTAAGTGTACCTCAGTATCATTAGGGGGCCCTAAGCTTGGTGATTTCACATAGCTGACCCTGTAGTGGGTTTTCAGAGGCTGTAAATCCCATAGGAGGAAACTGCTCATCTTACTCCCATAGAGAAGCTGGTGGATTTGAACCATATGTCTCTGGGCTGGCCATGCAGATCCTTACTCACTAGGCCACCAGAAATGAGATTTACAATAATTACAAAATAATTATAAAAATAAAATTAAAAGAATTAGTAAAATAAACCCCACTTGGGTGGATTTAACTTGGTGAACTAAGTAAAACCACGGAGTGAATTTCACCACCATTTCCCCCTTGGCTTTGTGAACAGAATCCTAATATGCAGTCTCTTTTCTGAAATGCTCTCCCAGGTGAGTGATGGCAATAAAGTAAGGCAGTCCAAATGAGAGACAAACTTTCCCCTTCCTTGCGTGAACAACTCTTCTAGAATCTCCTTACAACTGCATGAAGGGTTCAGCCATTGAGTTTAACACCTATGGCTGTAATATTAACATTGGGGCTGTAGCACCTGGTTCCCACTAGCTGAACACTGTCTAGCTGAAAATGTAGAGGGCTGTATCACCACCACATGACACCTGCTGCCTAAAACTTAGTGACCCAAGCAGAAACTGTGCATGAATTCCCCATGGAGGGCCCTTGTCCTAGATCTCCATCATGGACTCACTCAGAAGGGAATTAGATCACCAAAAGCAAGTCCTGTCAAAGGGAACATGAGCAAATCACTTGGCTCCTTCTCCAAGAAACCCACAGAATGATGTGATTGTGAACATTTCAGCTGCCCACAGACTTCAAAAGGGAAGATAACCTCACCTGGAAGTTGGTAAACATCCTGCTGTGCAGAATCTCCAAGAGCAATGGAATGGGAACAGCATCTCTGGGAATCCAGAGTTGCCTAAAGCTACAGTTGTCATGTTTACTTCTTTGGAAGGAAGACTTCTAGAGAATAGTCTAACAAGCCAAGCCCCATGAAATATTGATGTCCCCACAGTGACCTTTTGTTTTTGTTCCTCTACAGGATGTGAAGGGCACTCTGGATAGGTAAGTCCTGCATGAATGGAGGAGGAGAGGGTTGGAGGATATATGACTGAATGGAAGAAGTCTTGAATCTTTGCTTATTCTAGGTGTGGGGCTGTGAAACTAGAAACACCTGAAACTCACTCTTTGGAGCTTGGCACTGTATGCAATGTTCCTGAGCTTTATTTTGACATAAAGAAAATGCTAAGAATCTATCAAGGTATGTGCCTTCAAAAATCACTAAGTCCTCATGGATAAAAGAGTCCTTAAGCAGGAATCATGTTCTCCATTTGTCCCTGAGAGGTCATTTTGTTGTTTTTAGTAGAGCTGCTACACTCTCCCTTGTTAGTGCAATCCAGTGCTCAGACCAGAGGTAAAACATACTACTTATCTGTGAGGGTACTAATTCAGTTTCCTAATCTGAAAAATGAAAATATACAATGTTCCTACTTCAGTGGATTGACATTAAGATTCAATCCATCAGCATGTGCAAATGCTTATCACAAAACATATTACATGGCCAGGACCATTTTATGACGTTAGTTCCAATCTAGCATCTAGGATTCAGTCAATTCTCATCTATTTAAGAAAAGTAAGTGGTTTTAAAGATTTGATCTAGTTAACAAAGATAGTAAATGTTAGAAATATCCAAAACCACATTTTATGAACTTCAAAAGCTGATCTTCATCCTCCTTTGAGTCTGAATAGGCACCTGCTATATCTCCACACTCCTTATCTACAATTAGAAAATTCAAAAAGCTTTGAAAACTGCAAATACTTTCATAACTTATTTGGCTACAAAATATTAGCTGGCCTGAAATTATTTTGTAGAATACTGAATCTTCTATGAACTATCAAAAGAACAGATATATCTTGGGGGAAAGTTCAGTCTCATACTTTAGGCATGTTGCTAGGAGACACTATTCCTTAAAGAGGAATGCTTGGAAAGGTGGAGTTGTTGTTGTTGTTATGTGCCGTCAAGTCACTTGCGACTCATAGCGACCCTATGTACAACAGCCCTAAACTCCGCTCTGTCCTGTGCCAATCGCACTGTCTCTGACACTCCCATCCCAATTATCCCAGTCACTAAATCAATCCACCTCATAGAGGGCTTTCCCTCCTGAGCCGTCCCTCCACCCTCCCAAACATGATGTCCCTCTCCAAGGACTGGTCTCTCCTCACAACATGTCCAAAGTATGTTAGACGGAGCCTCAGAATCCTTGCCTCCAAGGAGCCACGCAGTTTAACCCTTTCCAGGACGAATCTGTTTGTTTTCCTAGCAGTCCATGGTATTCTCAATACTCTTCTCCAGCACCACAGCTCAAAGGCATCAATTCTCCTTCTATCCTCCTTGGTCATTGTCCAACTCTCTGATGCATAACAAGTGATTGTGAAGACCATGGCCTGTGTCAAACACACCTTAGTCTCTAGAGAGAGACGACATTTGATGAGATGGACTGGCACAGTGACCGTAGCAATGGGTTCAAGTGTGTCAGAGACGATGAAGATGGCACAGGATAGGACAGAGTTCAGATCTGATGTTCATCCTCTCTCTGTGAGTTGTACTCAATTCACAATAATTTGGTCCTTTCCTGCATGAATCACCAAAGTCAAGACCAACTCAATTGCAGCTAACAATAACAAGAAGATATCTGGAAATATCTACTGAATCTTCTCTGAGCTTTTATATATTACTGCTTTATTAATAGATCAAGGAGACAAAGTAAATGAAAAGCAACAAAGATTTAGCAAAAACCCAAACCAATGTAATTATAGAAATAAAACTATGTATATTCTAAGCTAATTATAAGAGAGCTCTGGTGGCCTAGTGGCAAGAAGCTGCTCTGCTGGAGAAGGGTGGGAATCCCTTACTATATGATTAATTGCCTCTGATGGTACACAACAAATATTATTTATATATAATATAAATTATAGGTAGAATCTTATATATAATGGATTGTTATTGTGTATTGTCAAGCCAAAACTGGCCCATAGCTGACTCTCCGATGGGTTTTCATAGGCAATTACTCACACAGGAGGAGATTGCCCATCCTTCTCCCCCCAGAGCAGCTAGTGGATTTGAACCATGTGCCTTTGGGATTGTAGCACAGTTTATAATAGTATATTAATATGCTGCTGTTGTTGTTGCTATGTGCCATTGAGTCACTTGCGACTCATAACTACCCTATGTACAAGTGCCCTAAACTCTGCTCTATCTTGTGCCAACCTCACTGTCTCTGGCACACTTACTTCCATTACTCTAATCTCTGAATTGATCCATCTCATCAAGAGTCTTCCTCCCTTGTTCTGTCCTCCTCTCTAAGGAATGGTCCCTCCTTGCAAAATATGTCAGACGAAACCTCAGAAGCCCTGTCTCCAAGGAGCAGCCTGGTTTCACTCACTCCAGTACAAACCTGTTTGTTCTCCTAGCAGTCTATGCTATATTCAATACTCTTCTGCAGAAACACAGCTCAAAGGCATCAGTTCTTTTTCTATCATCCCTAGTCACTGTCCAGCTCTCCGATGCATAGCATGCAGTTGCAAAGACTGTGGCCCAGATCTGGTGTACCTTAGTCTCCAGCTTGATGTAGTTGCTCTTCAGTACTCTGGAGATATATTAATATAGAATTATATTAATGCTATAAACTAATAAATATTATCATTCATATTTTATTAATATATAATATATATTATTTGTGAATATATATATATATATATATATATATATATATATATACAAAATTACATTGGGTTTGGGTTTTGCCAAGTCTTCTTTGTTTTTCATTATGGACCAAAGACTATCAAAATATTCCCTAATAGTAGGGATGATGATCTGTGATATTTTTTTATTTATATAATTAGGGCATGTACCTTAAGAATTCCATTTTATCTTTATCCTTAATAATTCTTTTACTTGATGTCTTTTGATATTATTTTTTAACTATAAAAGCTGTGTAAGTATATTGTTCATTCCTGGACTCTTAATCTTTCTATCACTTTCTGTTATGTGTCTCTTGTAAACAATTTTTTGTTGTTGCTGAGCACTATCAAGTCAGAACGAACCCATTGCTGACCCTCAGCAGGTTTTCAGAGTGTAAATCACACAGAAGGAGATTGCTCATCTGTCTTTTGTGGAGAAGCTGGTAGAGTTAAATAATTTACCTTTGCGCTGGCAGTGCAATTCCTTAACACTAAGCCACCAGAGCTCCCCTGTATACAATATATAGATGGAATTTTTAAAATCCTAATACCCCTCCACCCCCACCTGTTAAGTAGTCTTATTGTTAAGTGGTATTATCAAGAAGTTAACACTTTGACTTCTTAAAAGACTTTTCTGGGTCATTCCCTCAGACAATATAAACTGAAACTTTAATTTTTTTAATTTGTGTGTGTGTGTGTGTGTGTGTGTGTGTGTGTGTGTGTGTGTGATGGTAGGTCAGTGATAAGGAGTAATTAAAGAGTTATTTACCAAAGAAGTAAAAAACAAAAAAATAAACAAGGAAGAATGAAGCCTCAAACAGTAGGAGTAGAGAGAGCTATAACCATGATAGAGGAACAAGTTGTCCAAGTAATAACCAATAGGGCAGGATTATGGTATTAAAAACTTTTACTATGCCTCTTTCTGCCTCCAATCACATCTAATGTTCCTCATTGGCTGAACAAAACAGAAGCCAAAGAAAAGAGGGTCTGGTTGATATGTATACAGATATCAGCCTTTCTTAGCACAAAGGGTGAAAAAAGGTAAAGAATGATCTGAAAGAGCAAACAGAAAACATTCAGCAAAGAAATTGTTTCACAATACTTTCTCTTCAGTCCACTGATCAGTGTTTAACCCAATTAACAAAGTATTTTCTTAACTGCCTTACAAAAAGTCCAATTATTATAATTTATTTTTAAAATTATCTTGAAGAACAATGACCAGTATCTCCTCTTAGTTTATCATGGTTTTTCTGTCTTGATTAATTATAACCAGGTTTTTCTAAATGTAGATTGCTCTTTGATGTGCTACCATAAAATATTAACTGATAATAAACTTTGCCTAAACTAAGAAAGGAGTTGTTGTTGTTTATTGCCATCGAGTCGAGCATAACTCATTACAACTCTGAATAAAAGGCCTGAAGCCTTTCTATAATTATTGTTATTTCTCCAAGTTCATAGAGTTTTCAGACATGTGGCTTAGGAAGTGGATGCCACTCCTGCTTCCAAACTTGAATCAATCTTGAATCAGTCTAGGAGCTCCACCAAACACTGCCCATGATGGGTAGCCATTATGACATTATGGTGTATGGCATAACTATGGCACAGTTGTTCCATTATGGCATTTGAAACACAAATGGCACAAGATTCAGTGTCACAGCAAACCCACATTACCTCATCACACCTAATTGGCCAGAGTGCTGTATGACTTAGAAGAATGTTCCTCCAAAATATAGTAACAAGAGATTAAAATATAATAATCCCTCTGGCCCAACTTTTAAATATAAGGGCTCCCCAGGAGATCTTGACTCTAAACAAGAGGCTTAAATAAAAACAACGAAACCATCCATACAGATCCTCAACCAAAACAAGATCACCATCTTACAGACTCCAGGCCACTTCATCCAACTCCTAAATGGAAGCAAAGTCTTTGGCTTTATATATTGTTGTTAAGTGCCATCTAGTAACAATCCTATAAACAAAAGAACTATTGTCCTTCTAAGTTCACTGAGTTTCCACAGGCATGATTAGGAAGTGAATGCCATTCCTTCTTCCAAGCCTGTCTTAATCAGTGAGCTCTACCAAACATTGTCAACCATGTGTAACCATTATGACATTATGGCACACCATTCAGTATCACAGAATCCAAAAGATTGATGTCTTGGAGACTACTTAGACTGCCAGGAAAACAAACACGTATGTCTTGGAAATAGGGCAGGCACAGTACCCTTTACAAATAAGGAGGGTGATGCTTCATCTCACATATTTGGGGCATGATGCTAGGAGAGATTATTCCTTGGAAAAGGACATCATGCTTGGAAAGGTGGGGAGTCAGCAAAAGACCCTCAATGAGATGGATTAACTTGTTGACTGCAGCAATGAGATCAAGTGTGTGTGAGATAATGAGATGGCACAAGCTAGGATAGGATTTGCTATGAGTCATGGTTGACTTCACAACACCTAATACAACAACAGTTATGAGGAACTGAGCTGCTAACTCAAAGGTTTGCAGTTCAAATGCACCAGCTGCTCCACAGGAGAAAGATGAGCAGTCTCTTCCTACTAGGTTTACTACTTCTGAAAACTTGTTTGAGGATTAGCTATGAGTCAGCTCTGACTGGATGCTACTCAACAACAGAAGACACACACTATGGGGGAAAGAGCTTTGGAAATGAAAGGAATGATATCAGCTCTAGTCCTCAGTCCTGGTCCTTAGCTTCTCTAAGTGGCTAGGGTTGTTATTGTTATGTGCCACCGACTTGCCTGCGACTCATAGCAACTCTATGTACCATACCTCTGAACTCTGCTATATCTTGAGCCAATCTCACTGTCTCAAATACACCTACCCCCCATTATCCCATTTAACATGTCAATCCATCATCCAGAGTCTTCCTCTGCTGTGCTATCTCTCTATCCTTCCAAGCATGATGTCCTTCTCCAGGTCTTTCCTGGCCACATGCCAAATATATGTGAGATGGAGTTTCAAAATCCTTGCCTCTGAAGAGCAGCAAGACAGATCTTTTAGTTCTCTTGGTGGTCCATCGTATTTTCAATATTCTTCTCCAACACCACATTCAAAAGAGATAGATTTTTCTTCTGTCGTCTCTGTTCGTTGTCCAACTCTTTGGTGCATAGTTAGTAATTGCAAAAACCATGGCTTGAAGAAGACACAGCTTAGTCTCTAGACTAATATAGACTTTGGGAGAGGTCCCTGACAGCAGACCTTCCCCAGAGCACCTCATTTTTTAATTTTTTGACTGTTGATGCCAAAAGTGTTGATTATGGGTCTGGGCAAGCTGAAATTGTAAACAGCCTCAATCTCTGCTCCATCTATCATGGAGTTGCCAATTGGTCCAGTGGTGAGCATTTTTGTTTTCTTGATGGTGAGCTTCAATTCACACTGAAGATTGAAGACCTTGACCTTCTGCAGCAATTACTTCAGGTCCTCCTCAGTTTTGGCAAGCAAGGTTGTATTAGCTGCATAACATAGGCTGTTGATAGGTCTTCCTCCCCATCTTAATTCCACATTCCTCCTCATAAAGTCCTGCTTTCCAAGTTATCTGTTCTGCATGTAGATTGAAAAGTATGAGGAAGAATGAATCCCTGATGCACTCTTTTCCTGATTTTGAACCATGCAGTGTTTCCTTGCTCTGTTCTGACAATTGCTTCCTGGTCTAAGTATAGGTTTCACATAAGCACAATCAAGAGTTCTGGGAGTCCCAGCCACAATTTGTTATGATCCCTCAGTCAAATGCCGTTGTATAGTCAATGTTGATGCATATATCTGAATGATAGTGATCTTAACCAGACTTCCTTGTATGCTTATGGATATTACTCTGTCACTCACAGTATTGTATTTAAGATACAAGTAAGGATAATAATGATGCCAAAACTGATGTTACTACTATTTTGTGCCAGAAGTTTTACAATCACCATACATGTGTTAGCTCATTCCTTTCTCTCCACCAACTTCCTCAAACAGTCTGAGGATTTCCACTCTGTATTTTTAAAAGTTGAGGCTCAGTGAGTTAAACGACTTGTCTAAGGTCACAAAGCTAGTAAGAAATAATGCTTGGATTTAAACACAGATTGGTTTTATTGAAAATGAACTGTGCTCCCAACTCCAAATAAAATGTTCCCTTTCTTTGCAGTCAGTGTGACCCTGGATCCAGATACAGCTCACTGTGAACTGACCCTATCTGAGGACCGGAGACAAGTGACACGTGGAAGTCCCCAGGAGAATCTTGACATGTCTTCCAGGAGGTTCAGTGTCTTCCCCTGTGTCCTGGGCTGTGAGGGCTTCACCACAGGAAGACAATACTTTGAAGTAGATGTGGGAGAAGGAACTGGGTGGGATTTAGGACTTTGCACAGAAAGTGTTCAGAGAGATAAGAATATGAAGCAGAAGCCAGAATGTGGATTCTGGACCATCAGGCTATGCAGAAGGCAAGGCTACATAGCACTTAGCTCTCCCCCTGTTAATCTTCATCTGAGGGAGCAGCCCCTGGTTGTGGGGGTTTTTCTGGACTATGAAGCTGGAATTGTATCCTTTTATAACATGACAAATGTATCCCACATCTTCACCTTTCCACAGGCCTCCTTCTCTGATACTCTCAGACCCTATTTCCAAGTTTATCAATATTCCCCTTTGTTTCTACCTCCTCCAGAAGAATAAGGAATGAGGTAGAATCTCCTAGGTTTAAGCAACATAGAGCTCAATTAATGTAAATCCCATGACAATCTGGTGTGTTTTCGTTATTGTTTTCTCTCAGTGTATTGAATAAATTGGCATTAAATGAATAGATATTGTTGTTGTTGGGTACTATCAAGTCAGAACCAACTCATAGCTGACAGTTCAGTGGGTTTTCCGAGACAGTTAATCACACAGCAGTAGATTGTCCATTTTTGTCCCTCCCTTGAACCAACTGATGGATTCAAACTGCATACCTTTGCACTGACAGCACAGCTCCTAACCATTAAGCCACCAGAGCTCCCCAAACAGATACTGTTGTTGTTGAGTACCATCAAGATGGAACCAACCTACAACCAATCCTCCAGTGGGTTGCCAGAGGCTGATAATTGCATATAGGTGATTACCCATCCTTCTTTCACAAAGCTGCTGATGGATTCAAATCATGTGACTTCAGGATTGTAGCGCCATTTCTTACTACTAGGCCACCAGAACTCCTTCAAATAGATGCTAAAGCTGTAAAAATAACACAGATGATCGGCTTGAATTGAAGGACTGAAAATCATTTCAATCACCATACATTGTCACTCTACATCGAAGTTTCACTCACTCGTTCACTTGGAGAATTGTGTAAGAACCGACTCATAACTGAATCTCCAGTGGGTTTCTGAGGCTGTAAATTGCAGAGGAGATTGTCCATCTTTCACCCTCACAGGTGCTGGTGGATTCAAACATCCAGAGAGGTTCAACCTTTAGGTTTCACTGCTAAGACTTTGGTTTAACAGCACATTTTCCTTTTAACAGTCACAATTTCCTTCAGTACCCTTACAGCTTTGATTTTCAATGCCACTGTTAAAAAACAGGACTAACATGGGGGTTGGGGGGAAACTAAGAAAAGAGGGGATAAATAACATACAGTGCATTGAAACAGATGAGGGCAAGAACTGTTTAAAAGGAATATATGATTAGGTATTATTTACATTACAACAATCCAGAATAAGAGCTGCATAGTAAAGTGAATTGGGGATGGGGGATGAGGGGGAATGTGCAACAATGAAAGAAATTTTTTTCAAAGAGAAAAGTGAACTGGGAGGAGGGCTGGGTAGAGAAGAAAATGTACAACAATGAATGAAAGGAAATCCAAGTTCTCTATACACTGTCATTAAAATTTCAATTAAAATGAATAAAAAAAAAATCAATGACTAGCCCTGAGACCAGGAACTCTGTGTTCTCCCCCTTCACTTGATGATATTTAAATGAACTGGTATGCTCAGATTAAAGAAATACTGGAACTGCCTGCCTACTAACTGAAAGGTTGGCAGTTGAATCCCCCAGTGTTGCCACAGAAAACTGTTGAGTTGTCTCCTCTCGTAAAGATTTGTTGTTTTGTGCCTTGGAGACCAAAATTACTCATAGAAACCCTACAAACAACAGATCTGAACCTTGCCCTAGCCTTGTGATCTAAGTTATGCTTGAGCCCATCATTACTGTCACCATGCCAAGCGATCTTGTCGAGAGTATTATCCTCTTCCACTGACCTTTCACCTAAGCGTGATGTTTTCCTCCAAGGACTCTCCTAACAACATACCAAAAATATGAGATAAAGCTTACCAACTTTGCCTTTCAGGAGCACTTTCTCCAAAAGTTGCTCTTTTTCCCAAGACATATTTGTTTGTTCTTTTGTCAGTCCATTTGGTAATCTCCTCCAAAACCACAACTCAAAGGCACCGATTATTCTTCTGCTATCCTTATTCGTTGTCCAACTTTTAGGCTTATATGAAGCAGGTGAGAATACCATAGTTTGGATCAGGCACACCTTAGTCTTTAAATTGATGTCCTTGCTCTTTAGCATTTTAAAGATGTTTTTATTTACAACAAAAAATTGCAACATTGGAAGTTTTATGGAAAGTCTTTATGCATTGAAATCCACTGGACAGCTTTAACACTTGGTTTCTTTTGGGGTTACTGCAAAAGCAGGCAGGAAAAGGAGAATAGTAATTAATCTTTCATCCACTGCCATATTGATTCATCATTTGCAGCCCTAGATGATACATTATATGCTAATTGGCTCCGCCCGAACAACAACCAAGTAAAATGTGAGAGAAGAATTAAAATCGGGATGCTTCAAATGGGAAAGGAATCAATAGTAAAACCAAATTTGATAGGAAGCTTAGTCTGAAAAAGAAGTCTGTCGTTTCCCTACTGTGTTAACATCAGTTGTCTTGAAATATTTTAAAACTTGATCTTCAAATTTGTCCTAAAATATTTAAAAATATATACCTTTAAATATATTAAAACCTTCAAAGTACTCATTGCTGAAATTAATGTTGACAGTCTTTGTTATTATTCAGATCTAACCAAACAAGCCCCAACTCTCAAAAAGTCTGTTCTGCAAACTACATCCCATATTATCCCAGAGAGGACAGGATAATAATGACATCATTTTATACACAAACATTCTGTGAATGGCAAGAAAAAGTCACTAAATTGCATATTAGATAGAGTCGATATAAAAATTAAAGTTTGCTGACATTAAGATCTTCTGAAATTATCATTTATGTAAACTGTGCTGAAATCCCAAAAGCACAAGGTTTGCATCCACCTCCACAAGAGCTGCTTCTAAGAGAAAGATGAATAGTCTCTTCCTGTACAATTAACTGCCTCTGAAAAACCAATGGAGTGTCAAGCTATGTGTTGGTTCTGATTGGACAGCATGTAACAACAATAAACAAAGAAAGTAAAGCGGTAAATGTCCATTAATATTTAAGCCTTTGCAAAGGGTAGGTGACTACCCAATACAACAAGGAAAATGAACACATAAAAACTGCAAATTCCCCTCAAGAACTCTTTCTGGGCATGGGAAAAATAAAGAAAAAGCTAGGCTTATAGGTTAGAGGCTTGGTTGAGCATCCATTCATTCTGCAGTTTCTGTCAACAGTTGCCACTGGCTAGAAAAGGACATTTTTGTTTTCTGCCCCCACAGGCCCAGCACACTGTGTCCTGGGCCTAGAGCCTACTAAACAACAGAAACTCCTTGTAAAGTAAGTGAATGCGCAATACCTTGATGACTTGCAATTCCAGGCATCATCGTTAATTTTGACAGGGCCTAGAAATCTACACTCAGAGGGAATTTTATGTCCTTTGATTGTTGAACAAGAAAGAACGATAACAAAATAAACATTTAATTTTTTATTTTCTTTAATTGACAGAGTAAATCTTTGGAAACTATAAAGGAAGTTGTAATAAAGATAAAATGAGAGATTAGTTGGGATGTAGGCCAGCTATAGAAATGAAAAGAATTACTGCAGTTGCTAGGCCCTGTAAGTACGCTGTACCTTACATGAAGCAGAGCAGGAAGCAAGACCTCCCCTCTGCCCTGGTCTGTGGTCTGCCATCTGGGCAAGACCAGGAATTGAAGGATTGAGTCCGGGTTATTAGGCGGATGGCCTGTGCCCGAGGTTGAGGGCAGCTCGAGGCTCTGCTGAGTGGTGAAACCAAGAGGACTTGCTCTTTGTCATTCCAGTGGAATTTACGTTGCATCCCTTTCCTGGCCATTGTCATTGTCACAATTCTGGAAAAAAGATTGGTAAATCGGCATACTCTTTTTCTGTCTTTGTCATTGACATATTTCAGGAAAAGCTCTGAAGAACACTGTTTGCAGAGGCAGATTACCCAAATAATAATACAAGCAGAGGTTTACTTGTGTTTATTTACTTATTCAGTGATCAAATTACTACAAATCAATAAATAAACATAAGTAAACAACTGTTTACCTTGATTGCTGTATACCCACCCTCGGGCAGGAAATGTAACTGTGCAAAGTTTTGTAGGATGGTGTTGGTTGTTGTGAACCATCAAGCTCGTTGTGGACCTCCAAGGTTAGTGTGGACATTTGAGGTAGAATCAACCCATAGCTGACCCTCTAGCTCAGGATTTTCAGAGATTGTGAGGATGGCACAGGATAGGACAAGAACAAATCTCACAGAAGAGTGCCTACCTTTCCTCCACAGAGAAGCTGGTGGATTTTTAACTGTAGAGCAATTCTTATCACTAAACCACTAGAACTCCCTTTGGAAGACGGTATTTATGGTTAAATAAGGCCAAGCAAGTCTGTTTACTTTGCTTATTGAACAATAGGACATCGCAATTCCTAGTTTATTTCTTGTAAATACATTTTATAAGAAAACATTTACATTTATACTTTGAAGATAAATATATTTCTAATTCATTTTGTTAACTCATCTCTTCTCAGGAGTGATTCTTAAACATTGAGTTATGAAATATGTACACTGAGATCAGCAAGGGAGGAGAAAGCAGCAAGTACAAGCAGGGCATGTTCAGCTAGGTTAGAGCAGCCAACCAGCTGGGTCAAGAGTTATAGGGAGGGCACCATCAGAAGGCTGACTCTTCAGCAAACTATTCAGACTGTGAGGCCTGGAGCTGCCTCTCCTTCAGAGAAGCATAGAGTAGGCACTGGCTCGGTCCGCTCCGGTCCCGGGCACCAGCGCCCCCTAGTGCCATCAGCGTCTGTGTGTGCCCTGCACATGAGGCTGTTTCTGATTGGCCAGCTCCTTTTACACAGACCCAGCCTTCAACATCTTTTTTTATGTGTGTGTGGGGGAATCCTTTTCGTTTCAGGATGTGCATTTTTTTTTGATTGTTTTTTTTTTATTTTGCTTGTTTTATATATTTTTTGTTTTGTTTTTTGGGAGTTCTGGTGGCCTAGTGGCAAGAAGCTGCGCTACAATCCCTAATGTATGTGGTTCAAGGCTACCAGCTGCTCTGCTGGAGAAGGATGGGCAATCTCCTCTCATGCAATTAACTGCCTCTGGAAACCCACCTGAAAGTCAGCTATAGTTCGATTCCTCATCTATGGTACACAACAAGCAAAGTTTATTGAAGAAAGTATAGAAGGAAAAACCCCAGGGTATGCAAATTTTATGTAGCATACTGAGAAGTCCAGGACAGACCTCTACATTCTAGTC